CGCTGCACCTCTTCCTGTTTGCGACGAATGTCTTCCTCCAACTTCTCCCTCTCCGCGGTCTCCATCATCTTCGTCTCCTCCAACTTCTTCATCAGCTCTTCCAACTCCTTCTGCTTCCTCTCCATCTCCTCCTTCGCCATCTGGAGTTGTCTGAGCTGTTCCTCGAGCCGGCGGATGGTCTCCTGGGCGTCGAGCAGTTCCTTCTGGCGCTTCTCCATCTCGTCCTGCATTTGTTTGAGTCGATCGGCGTATTCCTGTTGTTTCTTCTCCGCCTGTTCTCTGGCCTCAATCTCTTTGCGCAGTTTGTCTCTCTCCTGCTGTTTGGCGATCTTCTCCTCCCGCGCCTGTGCTTTCATTTGTTGCACTTCAATGGTGTCGGGCTTACGGCGCCTCATATACAGCTCGTGGTTACCCATACAGAGCGCCAGAATTCGCTTATTTATCCGCAAACGCGGAGCGATAAACACAAAGTCCGGCGCTTTCTTGTCGATCGGTTTGATTACAAAGCGCTTGTCATTGAACGATATGTTCCTGATTTCACTCCACGGGAAGCCTATCTTTGGCGTCAGTTTGTCCTCCTTTTCGTATATATTGAGACCCAAGGCGTCCACACCTAACCACAGATCGGTTCCCTTTTTGTTCTTAATCTCGAAATAGTTTACGCCATACATCTCCAGGTCCTGAGCGATCTTCAAGTACTCCATCATCGCGTCCTCGCGAGGCATTCCCTTGTGTTCGGACCACCAGTTGGTGATCCTCTCCTCCCACTGTTCTCGAGACAGTTTGTGCTGATCTGAGACTCGTTGCGGCAAAAGGCGATCGTTTTGAAGGCCGTCCTCTTTATGGGTTTCCGCGTTATAGTCGCCATATTTGGCCTGAACTGCATATGACGACAACAGCACCGACGTCTCCGGCGGACAGTAGATCTCATCACTCAGTATCCCATTCTTCACCTGCAGGTAAAACAGCCGAAGAGTGATGTCTTGAATCAGTTCCTCCGCCACGTCTTCGGG